TTTTTTTTTTTTTTTTTTTGCAGTTTTTGGCCAGGGCTGGGTTTGAACCCACCACCTCGAGTATATGGGGTCAATGCCCTACTCCTTGAGGCACAGGTGCCACTCTAAATACTTGAAATGTTTCAGAGAGTATAACATAAATAGTTTCTCTCTCTCTCCTCTCTTTCTCACATACAACACACACATTCACATAGAAAAGGAATTACCTTAATTTTGGTAATCATTTCACAATGTACACAATGTGTGCACACAATATATATTGTGTATAAAAACATCTTATTGTACACTTTGGGAATATGAATTTTTATTTGTAAGTTGTATTTTAAGAAAGCTAGAGAAAAAAATACAAAAATTTAATTTCTTTTGGTTCTGGATGCTGGAAATCCAAAGTTTTAGCTTATTTGATGTCTCTTTCTGATGTGTGGATGGCTGCTTGTTCTTGTGTTCTTGCAGGTTAGAAAGCTCTTTGGTGTCTGTTCTTACATGCATGAGAATACTAATTGTATTGGACGGGGTTCTACCCTTATGATATCATTTAACTCTAATGAGTTTTATAGCCCCCATCTCTAAACAGAGCCATACTGGAGATTAGGACTTCAATATGTGAATTTGAGAGGCATATATATATATATATTTTTTTTTTTTGAGACAGGGTCTCACCATGTCACCCTTGGTAGAGTGCCATAGAGTCACAGCTCATGGCAACTTCCAAATCTTGGGCTTAAGCGATTCCCTTGCTTCAGCCTCCCAAGTAGCTGGGACTACAGGTGCCCGCCACAATGCCTGGCTATTTTTTGACCGTAGTTGTCACTGCTGTTTGGCAGGCCCGAGCTGGATTTAAACCCGCCAGCTCGAATGTATGTGGCTGACATGTTAGCCACTAAGCTACAGGCACTGAGCCCAAAAATTTGCTTTGTAACACAATCATTACTACTTCTCTTTCTATTAATTTGCCTACTCAGGACATTTCAAATAAATAAAGCCATGAGGGTATGTTGTCCTTTGTGGCTTACTTCTTTCACTTAGCATAATGTTTTCAAAGTTCATTCAAGTTTGTAGTATGTATCAATACTTTATTTTTATTAATGCTGAATAATATTACATTACATGTATACATCACAACTTATCTAGTTATTAGGAATGAAGATTTGGTTTCTATGTCATCTTGCTGGCTTTTATGAATAATACATCTATGATTATTGGAGTACAATTTTTGTGTGGATATCTGTTTTCACTTTTCTTGGGTATACCTAGGAATGAAATCACTACATCATTTGCTAACTTTATGATTAACTACTTGAGGAACTGCCAGATTGTGTTCTACAATGATAGCACAGTTTTACATACCCACCAACAACATATGAGGGCGTAGATTTCTCGATTTCCTCACTAACAATTGTTATTTTCTCACTGCATTATTATAGTCATTCTAGTTTGTGTGAAATAGTGTATGTGGCTGGCGCCCTATCCACTGAGTTACAGGCATCAAGCCACTTACTGTACTTTTCAATCCCAGCATATCCACTAGTTGATTCTTATAATTTTTGTCCCTTTTCTATATCTACTGATATTTTCTATAAAATAAGACATGACTTATTAACTTTCATTACTTTTAAAAGCATGATTTCCTTTAGTCCTTTAAACATATTTACAATGAATACTTTTGTGTTTTTCTTAAGCTTGACACTTGGACCTTTTCATAGGATTTTTCTGGTGCCATCTTGTATTTTCTTTGTATAAGTAACACCTTCCTATTTTTATGCATATTTTATACAGCTGAACCTCCTTATATAGTTGGCCACCTCCCTACAGTGACCATCTCCTTAAATTGACCTAACTTTCATAGACCAGAAATCTATGATAGTATATGTGGTGTATGTAATGTATACATTACAGTAGGCCTAGTTCCTTATGTTGCCCACTTACACATGATGACCAATTTGTTACAGTCCCTTGGGTGATCAACTTACAGAAGTTATAATTTGTTTTTATGACTGGACATTTTAGGTATGCACTGTAGAAACTCTAGATACTAATTTCTCTCCTCATTCTCAGGAACTTGTCTTTGTTTATTGCTAATCCTACATTTAAGACAAAGTCTAGCATTCTGTGATAATGAGATGATGTAATGAATTTCCCTCACTTGAAAGGAACCATAACCACGTTTTATAACAATATGTAATAATATTTATGCAAAAAATTGTATCAATATCATGCATTTTATATTTTTGTAAATGCAAATACAAAATGAATTACTAAAACATGACAGAAGATGTGACGTCTCAGATAATTTTGAATAATATAATAAATGTTAAACATTATACAATTATTTTGCTTGTAGTGCAGTATTCTTATCCATATTGAATAGATAATAATTATTGCTAAA